CTCTGTAGCCACTATCCGCTCACCATACCTGCTGAGTCTGGTGATCTCGTTCATATTCTGCAACTGACATTCTGTTCTGCCTAAGGTATAAGAATTCCTTCCTTCTAGCATCAAGGTAAGCCTCTGTGATGATAAGCCTCTGTGATGACTTTTTTCTTGAATTCCAATCCAAAAAAGAATTGACAGGTACGCTGCTCTGCTGAATACTTCGCTGCTGAACAGTAATCCACCATGTGGGTATGCCTCATCTTCAGCAATGATGTGGCCAAGCAAAGCAACTTGTCCTCCTAGTGTACACTGCAAACTGTTTCCAGGATTCAACTCCCATCTAACCAATACTCAGCTTATTCTGGACTGTCAATCCTGCTAGCTCTGAATTCTTTGGCACGCATATTCTAAGCTTCTTCTCCCAGTGGGGCTTTCTTTCTCTTTCTAACTACTACTGGTGCTGAGGTATCACCCCTGCAATCTGTCTAAAATATCCGCAAGTTGTTTTAAACAACACCTCTTGAACCTGGTGCTAACCGGAGCCTCCACCATCCACTTTGCTCTAGAGGCGTGTGACTCTGCTCTCACTTCGCTGTGACATCCCCTAAAAAGAACAACAACTGCTTAGTTCATCAAGGTAGTCATCGGCTGTAACACTATACATAGACTTATGCATGCAAAGCCCAAGGAAAACTAAACCTAAGGGCTCTGATACCCCAAAATTTGTAACATCCCTTCCCGGTCCCACACCGTTAACCCGAATGAACCGACTGAGACGCTAACAAACTGGTTGACTTTAGGCCTGTCATGTTTGATATAAATAAAATGGATACAGACTCTTATATCATTGTTGATGCTGTTTAATATTAAAATAATCGTACTTAAATATTTTACAAGACATGATACTAGTTGCAAAATGAAATGGGCCCAACTGTGTGGCCCTGTAACATGCCATGAAAAGAAAAGGATGGACAAAAATACACATCCAAAGGAGTAGCTACCCTGAAGACTGAGTCTTCTACGGATGAACTGCAGCAGTTGTAAGTTGACTCTCTACGGACCAGTCTCAAAACCTGCGAGTTAAACAGGTAACTCGCTGAGCAAATAAAGCTCAGTGGATATCTCAATATAAAAAGAAACAATTAAGCACATACATGTGTGGAAAGAATCATGTAAACACATACGGCACATATAAGCACACATATCACAATACTTTCAGTTTACCTTGATGGTCTTTCTTTCTATCTAGTATACTGTATGATTCATGCAATGATAAATCAAGATATCTGTATAGCTCCATAAGGTTATAGTGAAACCGAAGTGATAAGAAAAACTGTATGAAACAACTGTAGTGAAACTGGATGCCACTCAACGGCCTGTAGCCGGAGTAACAAACTGTATGAGGCGCAGATCTGCTATCCTATGTCGCGACATGGTCTTATCTACATGGTTTCTACCTAACCCCCATGGAGCATAATGTTGGTATGTCACAAGTATAACACAACATCATAGTAATAGTTCATCACTTCATAAATCATCATGTTCATATGATTTCACATCATTTGCATGCTTGCCTGTTGTTTTAATCCATATTCTAATGTTGTCTTTTTGTTTTACAATGATTGGATGCATACAAGTTGAGCAAGGAATCCATTTACATAGGAAAAGAAAGTCCAAAAATGCAGGAAAAGCCAAGTCGCGAGCGCGCCTGTGGAAGTCGCGAGCGCACACATGAGAGTCAGTGAGTTCTACAGGGCCAAAATTTCTGTGAGCGCGCAATGAAAGTCCGAGCGTTGAAAAGCACCAAATGAGATGTCAGAGAGTTTTACCAGGCACAATTTCGCGAGCGCGCCCAATGAAATTCGCTGAGCAGCGCGCGACGGTTTCTAGCCCTGCCGTAGTTTGTACTCTTTTGCGTCATATCTCTTTCAATCTGTAACTCGATTTGAGTGATTCAAAAACCCATGTAAAAGCTACACATAGAAGGAAGAAATAACTTCTTCAATGGACAACTTCCTAATTTCCATCATTAAATAGGGTTCAAAATCAAGGTGAAGTTACTGGTTCTATTTCCAGCAAAACCTGTGTAGCATAAACTCACTATTTACTCATCACTATTTACTTCATTTATTCATTTCATCCCATGCTTTCTCACCATTTTCAGTCCTCTCACTCAACATTAAGCAACATAGTGTCTCATTAGCAACACATCACACAAGTTCTCATGCAAAGAAAAGGGAAATGACAAGAGATATCAAACCTTCACTCCAAAAAGCTTGAGCTCTTCTTAGCTTCCTTTTTCTGCTATCTTTGAACTCACTTCTCCTGTACACATCAGAATTCTTATAACTTATCTACAATATAACTCAATTAGAGGTTGAATAACATAGAGCTTCAAGAAATTCTACTTACTTGGAGAAAATCTTACTTGGAGGAAAATTAGAAGTTGCCTTAATGCTTAACTACATGAAAAATGGGATGGAGAAAGGAAAGGGAAAGAAGGAGATGGAAGAAGATGAAGATTAAAGATGAAAAATGGGAAAGTGAAATGGTTTTCACGGGATAGGGGCCATCAAAATATCATGACTTTTATGGTGGAAACCTTACCAAATGTACCTCAATTTATTCAACAGGTTACAACTTAATACCCAAGCTTGATCTTTTAGTGCAAGTAAATCCTAACCCTCTATACTTGTATCTTTTTCTCTCATTCAAGTTAAGTTCCACTATAATTCTCAGTTCTACCCCAACCGCGGTTTTTGGTTTCAGCCCTACTCAAAAACTCGGACTCTATGCAAAGTAGTGCAAGTAAATCCTAACCCTTATACTTTGATCTTTTTCTCTCATTCAAGTAAGTCCACTTATAATCTCATTCTACCCCAACCGGGTTTGGTTCAGCCCTACTCAACTCGACTCTATGCAAAGACTCGACTCAGTAGGATGTCACAAATACATCTAGTTCACATCTTGTGACACTTGCAACACATCTAGTTAGACTTGTGACACTTGCAACACATCTAGTTCACATCTTTAGATTTAAGTTTGATATGTACGCTAAGTTGGTGCCTCCGACATTGAAGGTGACGTCCGTCATCTATTCCTCCGAGACTAGGGTGGAGGGTGTTACATTTAGTGGTAAGAGCATAAGTTTAGGAAATTTTACCAAAATACAGTCTCATGACACTGTAATTTTATCAAAATGCTCCTATGGCACTGTAAATTACCAAAATCACTATGAATAATTCAGAATCATAATTTTAGCATGCAAATGCATAATTAGACCCTAAGAATGCTGAAATGCATGTCAATGACATGTTTAGAAAAGGTGGATATGACTAGATCTTCTCTCAGGGCCAATTACTGATAGAGGTCCCTCCATTTGGAGATCCATTCGCCTCCAGTGGTGGTGGTAGTTCTGCTCATATCCCAGAGGTACCATTGTTGCTTCATTCACATGGTCTTTGCCCTTGTTATTCTTTGAAACTAACCTTATTGTATTCCTTGTTACAATGATAAGGAAAGCACCAACGTGGCAAGACTGGCAGTAGTGCTCCGCTTGTTATTGAGTTCATAAAGGGTCGAGCTGTGCATGCCCTTGAGGCCACATTCAACTATTGGTCCTCTAGTGGCAAGATACGCATAGGAGTGATAGACACGAGCCAGATTCCTTCATACCACATCATCCTGCTCGGGGCTACTCATGTAAGCTTTCATGCTCTGCCCTTTTATTTTTTATCTATTTTCTTATCCCTAATTCACTGCTTATTACAAGACTTAGTGGAGGATTATTTGGAGCTCAGTCGACTTTATGGGGCCACGAAACTAATTGGCACAAGCGGATCTTGATGACGATCCAACTCCTGTAAGTCACAAAACAACACCAAAACTATGTTTTATTATTATTATGTATGCATAATATGAAAAATAATATAAAATTTCTAAAATGAAGTGAGCCCCTAGTGGTCGTCCTGTCAGAGGTTAAGATGCTCGTCCTAGTCATGGTGTTTGGCGACGGTAAAGATTTAAGCAGTCCAATGGCGGTGGAGGGAGCAAAGGACTAGCTGATGGCTCAGAGAACACCTAGTGATGGATTTGAGACATCCTAGTTGTTTTCTCTTTCCTTTTCTTTTGGCTTGTTAAGAGATTTGGACAATTTGTAAAGATTTTAACATTCTATACTTTTATTATATCAACTTTGATATTTATAAACTGCCATTTTCAATCTAAGTAAAAGTAGTTCTTGGTTTCTTCTTTCACTGAATTGTTTTTGCATAAAATTTGTGTTGTTGATCCCAATTTGCTTAAATTAAAGTCGTCACAAGTGCTCATTTTGAATTGAAATAAAGGAAAGAAACCTAACTCAGCCTCAGACCAAGTGGCGTCTACATTGCCTAACAATGTGCAAGAATAGCGTGCCTTGCTCCAAATAAGCCTTGTACGGCATCTCTCAATGGTATGCACCTTTCCTCAGAGGCATGTGCTGTTCTTTGACAGATGGCGACAACTGGCTATTCCGTACTTATTTACAGTTATAAAAGGCTACTTTTTCCCTTATTTCACCATTTCTGCATCCTCCTTTGCTGAGAGCTTCAAAATTCATCAGATCTGTGCCTAAAAAACTCTTTCTTCATTGCTTTTTGTTATTTTCCCATGAATTTATCACTTTTATCCTACTTTGAGGCTCTGTTTTCTAATTTTTCTCACACAGACTAGGATTTTCTATCTATATTCTAGTTAAAGGTATTAGCTACCTCCAGAACATCTGTCTACAGCCTGGGCTTCTTCAATGGCTAGTGAATCACTATGATGGCTTGGATAATTTCTTGCATCATAATGTCTTTGAGATATGTCCATTTTATGAGAAGTTCAACATTATTACTAGCAAGAGATCAACTATTAGTAAGATCCCGACGGTTCCACAACTGGATATTGATCCTTCTTCCGGGATTTTACATATAACAATCTCTTTAACATTGGGATAACCTCACCTTATGGGGATTCCAATAAGACACCTACGTATGTGCTTTGATGTGGGTTGATATATCAAAGTAGAGCTTCCACCCTTTCTTCTCTATCGTGCATAAATGCTCATCTAGGAAATCAACCTCCCACTGTTCATTATCATCCATCGGATGTGTTTTCAAGAAATCAACAACTACTCTTCCTTTAACTATCTTCTTTGTAACATACTCAATGTCAAATTCAAAAACCAGAATTAACCATCTTGCAAGCTTACTTGCTGGAGTTCCACACAGACACTTCACTAGATCCATTCTTAAAACCTCAATGAATTTATAAGACTGAAAGTAGTGATGGAGCTTCCTAGTTTCCCACACTACTGCCGCGCAGTTTCTTTTGATTAGATTATACTTTTGTTCGTTTGGAAGCAGCTTCTTGCTTAAGTAATAGATAGCTCGTTCTACACCTCCTTCATTAGCCTGAGCTAGTATTATGCCAATTCCAACATCTTCCACTGTTAAGTATAGAATTAAAGGATTTTTCGATTTAGGTGGGCATAAAACTGGAGGGTTTGACAAGTACTCTTGGATCTTATCAAAAGTTGGAAAAGGTTATTGAGAAATAAGCTGAAAATTGTCTCATGCTAAAAACGAAGTTTAAGGCCATAAACCATTGCAAACTATTGCAAATCAAAAAAGTGTGGGTCTCGAATATGTATGGCACAACCCAAGAGGGGAGTGAATTGGGTTTTCTAAAAAAAAAAAAAAAAAAGTGGTCTCGAATAGTTGTATGGCCATCAACCCAAGAGTGGAGTGAATTGGTTTTTCTAAAAAAAAAAAAAAAAAAAACTTATAAAAACAAAACTCAGGAATTCTATTTGTAGCGGAAAAGCAATGAACTTGTGAAAATAAGTTATGATTAGAACAAATAAGTTATTGATTAGAACTACCTCACAATGTTCTATTCAGAGAAAATAGAAAGACTTTGCAAAGTACAGCTATCAATTAGAACTGCTTCATAGTGTCTTATCTAATATCAAAACTGCTTTATGATGGAAAGCTATTGTGATTAGAACTTCCTCATAAAGTTTAGAAAAACATGAGAGACTGTGTGAGAGACAGTTATCGAAATTTGAACTGCTTCACAAAGCTTTAATCAAGTTAGAAAACTGATTAAAAACCCAAATAGTGAAAAAACTCAAGTAGTGAAATATACTGTAAATAGAAGAACAGTTTAGAACTTGGTATATTCACTTAGCAGAAGTCTAGAATTCTAATGTTTAGAAAAGATAAACAATATTTCAAATTAGAACATTAAAACATAAACAACTTTAGCATTTCTAAAATATAATTGAAGTGTAAAAATAATATCAAGCAAATCTTCAGAAAGTAAAAAAGATTTAAAATAGTGATTTATAGTGGTTCAGCACTACCTCGCCTACTTCCACTCCCCAAGACTCATCTTGAGATCCTCAACTATGTTATCTCTTTTCAAGGGTAAGACACAAACCAACAGTACAAGGCAATAGAAGTACAAGAATAGACGACACCTAGATCTACCCTTTGTCCACAGATTTTCCAAAAGGTTCTAGTTAATTCTCAACCCTTTCTATTTTTTGGCCAGAGTACAAGAAACTTCAGTACAAGACATTAAAATTTCTCTCACGGAGTAAGGTTGCTTGATAACTCTATTTTCACTAATAGCTTCTCGCCTAAGCTATTACACAAAAAGCTATTACACAAAAATTTATCAAATAAAACCTGTCTACTAAAGATTACAAAATCTAAATAGACAGACAGAAATGCAAATATAAGCACAGAAAAAACAGTTTTTAATATTAGAAAATCATTTTAGAAATCAGAACTATTTTTCAAAAGAAGTTGTTATAAAATTTCTTTTCTCTTTTAAAGATAAAACAAAACGTATCAAGGTGAAAAGAAATAAAAGGGGGGTGAAGAGTAAGTTTTGAGAGATAAAAGATTTGATCAATGGACGAATACTCTTAAAACGAAAACTCTTTTCTCCACATCCATCTTTTCAAAAAGGAAAAAGCCTTTTTATAGAGAGTGTTGTGACTCTCATTTTTAGGAAAGTGAATATCTATATTTTCAAAATCAGAATATTTGACTTTCCTTATTTAGGAAGATATGGAAATTCTTTTGTTGACAAAACTTTTGAGTCAACATTCTATCGTTTTTGGTTAGCAAATGAGAGACAATCTATCCTTTTCCTTTATCTTTCCTTTAAAAACAAAGATTTTCGAAAGTGAATATTTGAAAAATCTTTTTCGAAGGATTTATTTACCAAAAACGAATTAAGATATAATCTTCCTTCTTTTAGGTAAGAAAATAAAATCAAGATTTTTGGATCTTCAAAAAGTTTTATTTCCGAAAATGAAGTGTATAAGATCTTTATTCGATTTATTCTTATTACCAAAATTGCTAGAGACAAAGTCTCCTTAATTGAGGTAATTTGAATATTCCGAATATAAAAGAAATTTCTAAAAAACTAAAACAAGCTTTTTCTAAGATTTTTATTACCAAAAAATGTTTGAGACAAGATCTCCTCCATTTTAGGTAAGATAATCAAGGAACGAAGGTAAGATAATCAAGGGAAACGAAAGAAAAAAGTTTTTGATCTTTTAAAGAGATAGTTCGAAAAAATCTTTTTGATTTTATTAAAGTGAGAGTAAATTGATTTTGTGCTTCTTATAATATGGATGTTTCTTCTTCTATCCTATAATGAATCCTAAAAATCTAAACCACTTAGGTCTTCAAAGTCTTCACCAATCCTTGAATTTGTAGGACATTAGCTTGTTCATTTTATTACTTTTCATATATAATCTGCAGTAAAATCTTGTTCATTTATTACTTTTCATATATAATCTGCATAAAATATTATTAGCACAAATAATATAATTTAAATTTATTTGTTTTGTTTTAATCATCAAAATCTCAGGATTAATATTTGACCCTTGAGCCAACAAAAAGAGCTCAAAGATGACCACTCTCCATTTAAATTGTCATATCTCAAGCTATAGATAGAGCGATTCAAGTTGCATTAGAAACTAGATATCAAAAGATTTCCAACAACATATTGCATGCTAAAATTAGAATTAAAATGAGCCCAAATGAGCAAAAATTATATGTGAGAAAGAAGTTGAAAATTGGTCGTATGAACAATGACGCTCCAAAATCGAAAGTTCAATTTATCCCATATTACAAAGACATGAATTATAAATTCTAACCTTCTCCTATATAAAAGGCAACCCCCTTCACTTTAAATCATACAATCTCACTCTTGCTCCTTACAAAGTACATTCTAGAAGCCTTGGTTGAAACATTCCTTTGGTTTTCTAACTCTCTTCTCATCTCCTCTACTCTTCTTGAGTGTTCTAAATGAGCAGGGCGATATTTCTCCGATTCACTTTCTCCCTAATCTCTTCGTTTAGCCTAGATTTTTAGGTTTTTCTCTCTTTGGGCTTGGAGCCTCCTTGGTCCATCAAGCCTTTACAAAAAGCCTCCTCCGAGTTTGAACTCTCATTGGTCCTCCAAAACTCACTTCGCTTCAATTTCTCCTTGAAATCTAAATTAAGCTGAATCGCCAAGATAGAAAGGTCACCACTTCCCTCATCTCCCTACGAAGGATAAATCGAGCTGGTGAGTCCTCCGGTCAATCATGTCGATCTCGCAAAAGGCTAAGGTAAGTCCTTTATGGCTCTTAACTCTTTACTTTGATCTCTTCTTCTAAACGGATTCGCGAACAAGCCTTTCTTTTTCAAAAATGGCAATCCAAAGTCAAAATCCATTTCTTTTCCAAAATTCGGCGATCTAAAGCCATGAAAATCCAATAAATCGTTTGTTTAAACTAGTCATATATTCGCGCGATATGCGGACTGTATAATTTTATATTTTTTAAAATTAAATTGAATGTAATTTTCAAGAAAATTATTGTAAGTTATATTTACGTTGCTTTAATTTAAATAATTTATTTCTTTATTTTTAATTAAAAAAATTAAAATTATAAGCTTTTTTTTTTTGAAATTCTCAAGTAATGAATTGAAATATTAATTAGCACAATTAATCATCGGAAGTAAATTATTTTAATTCAACCGATATAGTTAATTAATTATTTTTTCTCTTTCAACTTCTCATATATTCAAATTAGATGAGATATAAGAATATTTAATTTTAATAAAATAAAATTTTAGTGAATTGAAATTAATATTTGAAAGAATATTAATTTTAAATAAAATAAAATTTTAGTGAATTGAAATTAATATTTTAATTCTATTTGTTAATGTAACACTGATATTATTTAATAATTTTTATTTTAATTAAATGGACTCTACTTATAACTCCATTTAGTTTTTTTATAGCATACATTAGTTTTTTTATAGATAAAAACTATTTTATAAACAAACTCATTATTTATTAAATGTAAAAATATTAATTATAATGAAATCATCTATTAAATTTATTAGTTTGTAACTCCATTATTTCATAAAATATTAATTTTTATTAAATGCAAAAAAAAAAAGATTAGTTATAATGAAAAAAGTAAACACATCATTAAGAGTAAAGTAGCAAGTGAACTCAACTCGTTCCTCGTGGGATCGATCTTTTATTACTACGTTACGATCCGTATACTTACGGGAACTCAAAAGAGACGCAACACCACCACTCGAATTGAATTTTGCTAAGGGTTCTATTTCCGATGTCAAATGAGCGAGATGGGACCTCCAAATGGACGAATCGGGCTTGACAGGATCTTAGCATCTCCGTTCATGGAGGTTTCACCATCTGAGCTCTGTTGCCGTGATTGATGGAGACGAAACGATCATGTTGGAGAGATGAATCCATCGGCACCCCTCCTTCATGCTGCAATCACTGGCAATGGCGTGGATCGCCGAAAATTAGTGAACGAGAGCTGTCAAGGAAAACAGCTCCTGTTCGCTTCAACTGAAGCTCTTTTCGCGTGAGAGGAGGTTGGAAATATGACCACCAGCACTAGACAAATCGACCGCCACCTCGCTCTCATTGAGCGATGGCTAGAAATGGGATGGGAGGGGTGAAGAATGGCGTTGCCCTGGCGCTAGCGAAGAAGAAGAGAAGAAGAAAGAAAAAAGAAAATGGGTTTTTCTGGAATTTTCTAGGCCATTTCGGTTCGATTCTAATTGGTTTGGCTCAATTCAATGATTTGGCTCCATTTTTATGTGGATTTCGAGTTTTTCACTTGGTTTTTGGAAATTTCAATTGGGTTTACAGGTCTAGTTAATTTATTTTAATTAACTTAAGAGGCTTAGAAAAATCTCAGTTAGGAGCCGCCCCACTTCCTGGGCAAGGCCTGCCGCCCGGCGCGGGCGAGGCCTGCCGCCCAGCGCGCGAGGGCCTATCGCCCCATTTGGAGGTCGGAAACTCCCAAAAAAGCTCTCGGAGCGAGACATGGTGGCCACCACCAGCTACGGCGGCGCCGGCCGCCGGACACGGCGGCTCCTACCGCCTAGCATGGGCGGCACCTGTCGCCCCACCGCCTGGGCGGCCGAAGATGCCTGTTACGGAGGCGTGAGTGTCAGCGTCCGCCGTAAGGTTGACCTCGTCAAGCGAGATCCCCAGAGACCCTAGGTACTCCTCACCGCTCAGATCAGGGGAAGCCATGAAAAAAAAAAAAGAGAAGAATTTTGGAGCTTTAGAAGTTGAGAGATTTTGAGAGAGTTCCTTAGGTTAGAAAGTTTAGAATGAATGAAAATGAATTTTTTCAAGCTATTTATAAGCAAATAATCAAGAGATTTTGGTGCGCCTTGTCTGTTTTGATAGACGAATCCTTCTCCCTCTCACGCTCCTTGCGTTTTCTTTACCGCTTTTTGCATTTTAATTTAGTTTTTTGCATTTTTATTGTGATATTTGACCACTAAAATTAAATAAAATTAAAAATTAATTAATATACCTAAACAAGGAGCTTAATCTGGAGTTAAGAAGCGGTCGTCGATTAAACCAGGTATGTAAACAAAACTCTGCCTATTTAATTTTAGCATTTCATGCATATTTCTCTCCTACTCTTAATAATTCTACAATTGCATAAATGCATCCACGTCATCATTATTTTTGGTAAATAAACTGCCTTAATTAATTTGATTAAGCTTAACGCCCGATTAATTAATAATCGTGGCAGTTAAGCTTAAATCCGACAATATAAAAGTTTAAAATCCGACAATATATTGCTAAAAGAGCTAGTTAATTAATAACTACGGTTCAATTGGCCTTATTTCGAAACAAATACGGCTTAAGTCCAATTAATCAATTAATTGTGGCTAAAAAGCCTTAATCAACACGTCTTCGACAATAAATTGTGCATTTAAGCATCGAACGCACCGATTAAATTGGATAATCGTGGCATTTAAAGCCAATAAATCGCACATTTGGCAAAACTAAGTTGCCTAAAACAACACCTTTTGGCCAAAGCCTAAAAATCAAACCATTTTTAGCAAACAAAATCACTTAAAAATCAATCTTTTGGCCAAAATGCCTTAAAATCAACATTTTCGGTTAAAACCGTAAAAATCAAACCCATTACAAATCGCGTAAAATCGACATTTTTGGCAAAATGCCTTAAAATGAACCGATTTCCGGCCAAAGGCCTAAAATCAACCATTTTAACGACAAATCGCATAAAATCGACATTTTTGGCAAAATGCCTTAAAATGAACCGATTTTCGGCCAAAAGCCCTAAAATCAATCATTTTGGCGATTTTGGTAAATTAATTGCCTAAATCAACTCATTTCGGCCAAAGGCCCTAAAATCAACCAAATCAACTCATTTTGGCCAAAGGCCTTAAAATCAACCATTTTGGCGAAAATCGCCTAAAATCAACATTTTTGGCAACAATTGCCTAAATCAAAAATCATTTTGGCTAAAAGCCATTAAAATCAACATTTTTGGCAACATGCCTAAAAATCAATCAATCTTTGGCAGAATACCTAAACAAAATGCACAAAGCATACGCACTTATGCACAAAGCATACACACTTATGCACAAAGCATACGCACTCATGCACAAAGCATACGCACTCATGCACAAAGCATACACACTCATGCACAAAGCATACACACTCATGCATTAAGCATACACCTTCAAAGCCCGAACTACGTTGACTTTGATCTTCCATTCAAACGAGAAGTACGTAGGCACGTTCGGGATTTCACCCCGAGGTGGCAAGTCAAAATCACCGTCCAAACATTTCATTAATCCATTCATACCTTGCAAAGCATTTCAATTCATCGGTTTAGTTTATCGGATGACATAGTCGCGGGATCCATCTCGGGTTCTAGGATGTTGCCTTAATCATTGGGATAATTAATCTAGTAACTAGGTTAATTAAAAAGGAGTCCACTTAGGGTTTTTCCTAGTTTTACCCTTAAATAATTAAAACAAGTGGCGGACTCACACACATTCACACACACTCACGTGCATTTCTTTCTTTTGTCATATGCATCACATGCCTATGATATTTTGGGGAGGGGTTCACAGTTTGGCGGCTTCACTGGGGATTTATGTAATCATTTTGCATAAAGCGGACTACGATTGTTGTGTAAACTAACCCGCCCTTCTTTAGGGTGTTATTTTACAATGCTTTGTTTTGCAGGGTATCCTAGCACGAATCAAGTGTTCTTAAGTATTCTTTCTTTAAGAATGCTTAATAAGGAGAATTTGGACCTAATTGAAATTTACTTTAAATCATTTAAATTTGTTTATTTATTTGCACGAATTAAGAATCCTTTTCTCCATTGCATAAAAAAACGAATTTCAAATGAATTTCTTCTCTTCTGTTCAAATTTCTGAGTCTGGATGGCAAGTAGCGCTGATCGGCAGGTCTCCTTGATTATGCCGACGGACAGCCAAAGCGTCCTCCCTGTTACCGCAAAACATCCCTAATCCTTTTGGGGTGGCCCATGAGTATGCGTATTGTCGGACCCACGCGAAACTCCTTGTTTCACATGTGGTTAGGTGTATCCATGCTCAAGGTCAAGGGTCCCTTAATAAGCCGATTCTCTATTTGTGTCATAGCCTATAGAACCATCCTTAGACTATATTGCACCCAAAGGTACGAATCATCTCATTTAAAATAAAATTATGACGTGTTGTTGTGCGCATGTCATGACATACCAAAGCATTCAAAAAAAAAAAAAAAGAGAGAAGAAGAGAGTGAAGGCGACACAAAAATATCCTTTGTTTGTCAGTCATGCACAGTGGACAAAGAGTCGGTCTACCTCATATACAGTTTACTCTACACCACAATACCGCCCACTATACCCTAATGCGATTACCTCTACATTACAGGTTACCCCCTGTGCAAGCGACCACAATAATTCCAGACACACCTACAGTGCTATCACCACTCAACTTACACCGATGGCTCACTAGCTGACATCCAAACCCTCATGGAACAAATGGAAAGCCAGAATACAGGTCCTAGGATGAATTGAGGCATTGGCTGCCCAAAGATACCGCCCTATTAGCTGAACTAAGTGGTGGTAAGGAAGTGGGGCGCTTCGCTGGGGGAGATGGTCCTGCTGCCTCCAACCAAGGACCGTGGCTCTGCGCCTACGGTCTTCAAAACCCTAACTTGGGGAGAAATGACTCCAAAACTGCTTCTGAGCTGGAAGCTCAAAAGAATGAGAGAAAAACTGGAATTGCTAGAAAGTCTTGTGACTGCTCTAAAGACCCATAAGGAGGTGGTGGACATGGACTCTTTGTCTTGTTCCCCGAAGCAAGATTGCCTACTAAGTTCAAAATGCCAAACATGACAAGTTTGATGGAAACCACCTGTTCCTAAACACACTTGAAATGTATGTGGGCGCCCTTAACCCATTTAGGATTAAGCAGCGAGCCTCCTTGCTCAGTTGTTCCAAAAATCCCTGACTGGTCCTGCTTGAGATGTTTGTCATTTGGACCGCTCTTAAGATGAAAACCTGGTGAGGAAGTTTGCGAATGCTTTTAATGCTCGAGTATCACTATAATAGAGAAGTGTGATGTTACTCGAAGAGAACTAAGAAACTACCAAAACAGAAAAAAACCAATGAACCCTGTCCCTTCGTTCCTTACGAGAAAAAAGGGCCCAAGGTTGCCCAAATGATTAACCGGGCCTTCTGAGCAAGAACAGATTGGAACATTATAACATAATCATAAAGAACCTGCAGTCTGTCTACCAACATCAGTTACAAACCCAATACTTACCAACCTTCCAGTCGCTCATTGCCGCTGCTACAAGGGTAGAGGATTTAATTCAAATGGAGCAACTGAAAGAAGACTCGAGTTCCTCAAAATACGAGAAGCCTAGCCAAGTTGGCAAAGTCCATGAAATGGCAAGCATCACCCCCACGAGTCCTTTACGTGTGGGCAATATGAGAAATGGCAATCGGTCAAGAAGGACATATACTGATCTCGGGATGCCGAGGGATGCCAATCCTTTTGGTTTTCCGAGAGGCTGTCAAGGCCAACTACATCAAGCCCTTGGAAGCAAGGCCGCCACCCTACCCCTTACCAAGAAACTATCGAACCAATGAATACTGTGAATATCATCAAGGTCATGGGCACGAGACTGAAGCGTTCTGGACGCTTAAGAACCGCATCCAAGACCTGGTAGACGATGGTTCAATCATCCCAAGAAGTGAGTCAAACATTAACACTAATCCCTTACCAAATCACAAGGTAAATGCTATTATTTCTGACCAGGAATTGATCGATCCTTTCGAGCTATTCCTAGAAATAAATGATACCTGTGTCCTGGACTTGAATGACTTATCCGAAGAAGAGCCCGAAACAGTAACTGAACTAGCAGTGGAAGACTTCATGCAACCCAGTCTCTTTGACAAAGTTGCAGTTATTACAGGAAATAATGGGAATCAAGATCTGCTGAGCCTGATCAAGCCAAATGAAGGACCTCTCACCAATTGGTACGCCGAGGAGGAGCGCACTGCTGATACACCCCCTTCCAAGTCCAACCTAGAGTCAAAATATGTGATCAAGACCTGTATTGAGTCCGAGTCTGACCCCGAGTATGAAACCGAGTCAGAGTCTAGTTCCAGTCTTGAGTCGTCTGTGTCGGATTTTGAACCAGATTCGAATTTGATGTTAATCTTTGAAGACGATTCTGTCATGATCAAAGTAAAGGCTTGCAAATTATTGGACTACCCCGCGTGTCTATCTTTCCAAGCAGGTTCCAAGCAAAAATAATCATATAAATGAAAATAAAAAATGAAAAAAAAAAATAATAATTGGCAAAGAAGAAAATGAACATACATACATTGCATTTGACTGTTGAACAAGGGACAGGTCAGTGAATGCTTGAGGAAGTTTGCGATTGTTTCAATGTGGAAGCAAGTGAACATCACGGGAATTGATCCCAGCAATAGTGGTGCACAAGATTCCCAGTATTATCCCGAGGCTAAGCAGTGAAGCAGAAGCTAAGAAGGCTGAAACGAATGGTCCTTGAAAATTCAAGGAGGAGGTAGCCAAGCAACTGAAAGAACAGATTCAATAGAACCCAAAAAACCTTACCCGAATGGTTAGCAAATATTGTGCCAGTGCCGAAGAAAAGATGGCATAGTTCAGAATGTGTGTGGACTATCGGGATTTGAATAAGCATGTCCGAAGGACGGACTCCCCTCCGCATATTACTTGTTGGTAGACCGGAATGGCGGGACACGAGATGGTCTCCTTGACCGATCTTGTTGTCGGGTACAACCAAATAATGATGCATGTGCCAGACAAAGCAGAAACGGCATTCATCACGGATGCGGAACCTACTGCTACAGGGTCATGGCCTTTTGGGGCTCAAAAATGCCGGGGCAACCTATCAAAAGAATGGCGACGACGATCTTCCCATGACATGATTCACAAGAAGTAGAAGTGTACCGTGGACGATATGGTTGTTAAAATCAAAAAAAGCTGAAGAACATACAACGGCGCTTGAGAAGTTCTTCCTTAGACTTCGGAAAGTTACAATTTAAAACTCAACCCGGCTCAAAATGTCTGTTTGGAGCTTACATCCGGAGTATTTCTGGGGCATATGGTCAGTCGGAAGGGCATAGAAATTGATCCTTCAAAAGCCAAAGCCGTTATGGAAATACCAGCACCGAGGACGGGAAAGGAAGTTCGGGGTTTCTTAGGAAGGTTACAGTACATCAGCCGGTTCATCAATCAATTGGCTGATACTTGTGGTCCGATCTTCAAATTACTCAGAAACAGAGTAGCCGTAAAATGGAATGAGGATTGTCAGAAAGCTTTCGACCAAGTCAAGCAATATCTGTTATCCCCGCCAGTTTTACAGCCACCAGGGCTAGGAAAGCCTTTGCTGTTGTACCTATCAGTGACAGAAGAAGCGATGGACAGAAGAAGCGATGGTGCAATGCTAGCTCAACAAGCGAAGATACGAGGTAGAAAATGCCGTGTATTACTTAGCAAGAGGATTGCTTAGAATAATGAGCTAAAATTACAATAAGATAGAGAAGGTGTGTTGGCTCTGGTATGGGCTTGACAAAGCTACAGCGACTACCTCTCGTCCTACACACCTACTCATTTCTTGAATCGAACCCCTTGAAAAATTCCTGGATGAGAGGCGGTTCTCGATAGCAAATGGCTAAGGGTGTCAGTGCTCGCAGCCTATGATGTTAAATTTGGTACAACGAAAGGCAGGCAGTGAAAGGCGGAGCCTTGGCTGATCAACTAGCAGAATTACCGGTCGAAGACCAAATGCCGGAGGTAGAATTTCCTGATGAAGACTTAGTGAACGTAGAAAGTGAAGTCTGGGAAATGTACTTCGATGGAGCCTCGAACTACCATGGAAATGGGGTTGGAGTCGTATTCAAAACTCCTTGTGGAGAGTACGTCCCAATCGCAGTCAAATTAGATTTCGACTGTACTAACAACGAAGCCGAGTATGAAGCTTGCATAAAGGGGTTAGAAGCAGCCCTGGAAAAAGAAATAAAGGTCCTCAAGGTTTTGAGATTCCAATCTGATAGCCTCTTCAAGCTTTAATAATTAAACAAGGTGGCGACTCATACATTCACGTGCATTTCTGTCCTTAGTCACATGCATTCATATGCCTGAGATGATATTCGGGGGAGGGGTTCACACCTTCCACTACTTGCCACGAGCCAAAAATCAATTCGCAGATGCTCTGGCTACTTTAGCCTCCATGCTCAATGTAGAAGGAGATCGAGTCATTCGACCTTTTACAGTGCGGCTACAGAAACAGCCAGCACATGTCATGACAAGCCCTGGTACTGGGATATACAGAATTATCTTCAAAATGAAGCTTACCCGGAGGGGTCCACCAAGACTGATCAACGGACATTGAGACAGGACATTGAGACAGCAGCATCCGGATATTTCCTTACTGGGGGAGTTCTGTACAAGAGAAGTTTGGAATGGCCTGCCACCTAAGGTGCGTTATGAGAGAGAAGCTCAAAGCATCTGATTCCTACATAATGGGGAATTCTAGTCCACACATGTACGGGATAGCCTTGGCTCGAAAAAATTTGAACCTGGGTTATTACTGGTCAACCATGGAATGCAAGATTACGTGAAGGCACGCGCAGAAGTGCCACGAATTGTCAAATTTTTGCTAAGCTGCAAAAAGCAGCCTCCAGTTAATTGAATCCTATCACCTACCATGGGCCTTTCGCAACTTGGGGGCATAGACGTGATCGAAAAAATCCACCCGAAGGGGCCTCTAACGGCCATCAAGTCAATCCTGGTTTGCTGTAGATTATGTCACTAAAGTGGATCGAGGGCAGCCCTCTTATTCAGTTTTTAAATGCCAAGAAGGCAGCACAATTTGATACCTAACTACATCCTTTGTCGGTATGGAAGCACCGTCGAGATCATCACGGATAATTGGGTCTCACTTTCAAAAGTGAATTTTCTGACCTGCTGAAGCAAAAAAAAATTCAACAATCATAAGTCCCCTTCACCCTATCGTCCACAAACGAACGGGGTTGTAAGAGGCTGCAAATAGGGGCTATAAAAAGCCATTTTGCAGAAGACTGTTAAAAAAACACAAAGCTTGCCACGAACAGTTACGAAAATGCCCTATGGGATATAGGACTTCAATCAGAATGCCCACCGGAGCAAACTCCGGTATTCTTTGGTACATGGTAATGGAAGCCAATATTGCCTATTGAGCTGATAAGTTCAGTCCGCAAGGATTATCAGGAAAGGCCAGAGCAACAAAAGCAGATTGGGCTAAGGAAGTTATCACTTGCAACTTTTTGGGTATGGATGAAAAAGCGACTGCAAGCAATCCATCAAACTCAAGTCTGACCAGAGAAGAAATGGCACGACATGTTAATAAGAAGGTCAAAAGACCGGAAAACTGGAAGAAGGTTGTTTGGGTCCTGAAGGAGATTTAGACAGCCAATCATAGACCCACGTGGGAAGTTCCGTCCTCATTGGGCTGGACCCTATGTGTTGAAGAAAGTTATTGTTCGGCGGCGCCATTCATTCGGACTGATTTTGATGGTTTGGAATTCACGAAATCCATGTAATTGAGATCAGTTAAAAAAGATATTTGTGTAAGAAGCATTGCATAATGTTAAAATGAACTACATTAGGCCTTATTCTCTTCGGAAAAGAGAAAATTAATGCATCGGAGATATGTAGGCAGCCCTCTTGCGGCGGCAGGTCTAAGCATTAATAAAAAAAAAATCACTTTATAATTTCATTCTTTTTCCTTTGCCAAATCAAAAAAAAAAAAAAAAAAGAGAAAGAAGTAAAACAAAATACTATATAAAAAAAAATATAGGAAAAAAAATATTAAAAAAAATGAAAAAAAAAGAAGAGAAAAAACCCGCTGAAGTCGAAAAACCCGAAAAGGGGGCTTTAGCTTAGGCAAAAATCGGGGCCCGCTAAGTTTAAAACCCGAAAAGGGCGGCTTAGGCAAAAATGGGTAGCTCGCTAAGTTGAAAACCCGAGAGGGCGGCTTTGGCAAAAATCAGAGCTTGAATAAATGAAGTTGGAAAATGCTTGGAAAGCTTAAAAGACAAATGGCATGCCCAATTAAAAGCAATAATGAATAAAGTTGGAAAGAGCTTGGAAAGCTTAAAAGTCAAATGACACTCCAATTAAAAAGCAATAAAGCCAAACAGTACAAGCAAAAGCCAAAGAACCAAAATCCGAAATCCAGAGTCAAAGTCCCAAATAAACAGTCAAAATAAAAAAAAAGAAGAAAAAAAAAGAGCATACATCCAAAAC